TTGTATAAGTATTGCAAATCTGGTGGCTTTGCACTGCAACTATGGTTTGCTCGTGATCTTATGTATGTAGATACCTGCATTCGTCACAAGCTTCTATGATGGCTAATAAATAGTTGGTATTCGCTACCGCTTTTCTATATTTACGTAGTAGATAGCAAGTTGTGCACAAGATGGGTCTTCCACAACGACTCATAGAAGTTTTCACTTGTTGTAGATATGTTTCCTTGTGTGAATGTCGGTGTGTTTGACTGATGTTATAAGGCTATCACATGTGAGGATGCCGCAACAGCTCGTAAGTGCTTTGTATATACATGTTATATATATATATATATATATATATATTGTTTGTAAAACCCCTCAGAAGTTCTTTTTTTTAGGGCTGTTAGTCCGTACGAACTGACTTTAATACGGGACGAACTGAAGAAAATTGTGAAAAATCTGTATGGTTTGTATGGATGAACCTGAACTAGCCTGGATGAACCGTCGGGACAAAATTTGTCCAGAGAGCAAATCGTCTAGTAACGAATGCATTTTCATTTGAACGAATTTTGTACATAGGGCAAATCGTTCCGGGATGATTTGGGATCGTCCGGGATGATCTACATGGATATATATTGGATTAAGATATTTTGGAATCATTTGAAGAGAGAAAAAGCTGGAGAGAGAAAGAGAAGGAAAAAGAGAGGAAAGGCTTGGTTTTGGAGCTCGAAACTGTGTATTTTGTCTATGTTTGGGATTTCTGTCGACTGTATGATATTTTGAGGATTCTCTTCATTTGAGTTAAATCATGTTTATTGATTGCAATGCATTAATGGGATGTATATGAATGTGGATATATGATTGGATATACTACTATTACTGAAAGACAAGTAAAGACTGGTTGAACCGTTGGTTGAAGATCGACCTGTACAGGATGGTGGGCCGACGGGCTTTCCTTTAAAAAGGGTTTGATGTTATCCTCTATTGATCACGTGATACAACGATTGGGAGTCATAAGGAGATTATTATGCCGACGGGCAAGGGTGACGACCCTTATTGAGCCAACGGATACAACGATACAAAGATACAATGATACATCGATATTCCAAGACTAAAAAATGCCTTAATAGACAGTGATTGTACTTGTTAAGTAAGACTACTGTACTGGAATGCATGTGTAAGTACTGTTCTTATGATTTCCTTATGGACTTACTGATATTGTTTGATTTGTTATATCGACTGATTTATTGATATTGAACCGATTTATTGATTTATGTATGGATTTACTGATTTATTGATATTGACGGATTTATTGATTGAGTATAGATTTATTGATGAATTTATTTACTGATGGATTTACGGGTTTACTGTTACTATACGATTTTATTGATATTGCATATTGTATATGTCACTGAATACAGATACTGATATGGATATTGATATTGCATTAATTCATTGATACTATGTTGCATTGATTCATTGATATTATGGACACTGATACTATTGATTCATTGATACTACTGATACCGTACCGATACCGATACCAATACCGATACTACTGATTCACCGATACTACATATTCATTGCACTGATATTATGGCACGTGATACACCGAATACTAATTGATATATGTGATACCCTGATACATGTGATTTACCGAGCTTGTGATCTAGAATATGATTTTACTGCACTGATTGATTTATTGATTTGATTTCAACTCTTTTTAGCGATGTATTGATTTGATTGTTTTATATGATTTTATAACGATTGATACTATTGACCGGAGTATTGATTTGATTGATATTATTGATACGATGGCTTTTCTTTATGAATTTGACCGATGTTTGAAGATACGATCGAATTGACGTATGGATTGATTTATTGAGCATTATGGATTTTCTACTGTTTATCGATTCTCCTACCGACGATTATGGATTTTATTGATTATGCATTGATTACTAATTTTTGTATCGGCATAGATTCAATGATCATGTGCAAGTGACTGGTATGGATTTGACTGATTGACATGCATATTGTTTCAGTACCGTGCTTTGATTTCAGTTGTAGGCTTTGGTGACCTGCTGGGCTTTTTGAAGCTCATTATATGTGGTTAACAATTTCAGGTCTGAGCGAGGGAGCAGGAAGTGATGATTGATCAAAACTGTCGACGAATCCTTTCACTATAGACGCACGGGATGTCACATTGTCTTTGGGCTATCACAGCTCGTAGGTACTTGTACATATTGTAGACATGTTGTCTTTATCCTTGGATGATGAGTTGTGTGCATATACATTCATAAGGGACTCATCACATTTGTGACGTATTCAACCTCGTTGTTGGTAGATGGGAACTCTATATGCATCACAGGATTTCTTCCACCATCTCTTTAATTTGTAGGTCAGCTATTGTATACATGACGAGCTTCTTACAATTGTTTGTAGGTGTATGTATTCACTACGGGTCTTTGGTTCTTGTTTGTAGATACCACATGCATTTGTATCCTCCTGCAATCTTTCATACTCACAGCACTTTAGTTATTAATATTCTCAAATAAACCACATCAACCGTCATTGCTTGTAGACATTTGCATTCGTCGCATGTCAATTTCCTTTGCTTGTAGGAACATATGCATCTACACGTAGATGGTTTGTTGTTGGTGTATTTATGTTTGTAGAGGATCTATCATTCTTGCGATGTGTCTATTGTTGTTAATCATCACCAATAGGTGCATTATTATGCATACAACACATCTCTTATCACTGTCATCAGACATTAGCATTCATAGTATGTCGTACCATATTATGTATGTTTGCAAGGGACTTTGTTATTTGCAAGCAAGTTAGCGTATTCGCTTGTGTATTGACTTTCAATTATTCATAAAAATTTGTTATATTTACTTTTTGGTTGATCAGCGTTGACCGTAGGAATGTTGCTACACTGCTGATTTTCTTGTGAGCATCGACTGGCAAGTTGCTACTTTCACCGTGCATTAAACCACCACGTTCACAAAGTTTGCAACATATATCTGCAAGCTAGCTAATATCGGTTGTAGGGAGATTGTTACATTCAGAATTTATTTGATTTCGTCACTTACTAGCATATTAGTGCACTTTTATGTCGGCTAAGGGCTATTGATTGTAAGTGGGTTATCTTCATCATAAACTCCTTCCCTTATTTTCTAATTGCGTTGCATTCCTTGTGCATAATTGCGAGTAAATTCTCGCAATGATTGCATGTCAAATTCCTCTGCTTGTGGGGTCAAATGTACTTGCTTAGGTTTTGATGTTGACCACTGAGCACTTTTATATTTACTGCACACCAATCTTACATTTATGGAATACTGATCTATTTATTTGTATGTCGACTAGTGTCAATCACAGAAATGCAGCAACACTTGCTGGTTCATTCTTCATACTTAACTTAAGAGCACATTACTGTGTTCATTGCGGTTATTAGGCCCCTTTCATAAGCATGAGCATCATTTTTCAATTAATATCTTTCACAAGTAACTCATGGTGCAGATTGGAAATTTCATGCATTAACTTACATGCCCATATGAATATTGGTATTGGCTACATGATATTGTTGTATTCATTGCACATTTTTCATATATCCCTCAAGAACGTGCCACCCATAATTAAGGTGAGTGGCCTGCATTCATATTATATGCTCCCTTCAGATTGATTGTGGTTTGTGGGCATTAGTTTGCAATGTGTTTGGCAATTTATCCATCATGAGTTTTATGATTACTCATTGATCTTCATATTGCTTATTTCTTCCGAGCGGGATGTAGGATTCTTATCCACCGCGATTCATTGTTTGTAAGCGAGTTATTACATATTCAATTTGATCTTTGCTTGCAAGCAAGTTGTGATGGAATCCATGAGTCCTTGTAATTGTTCATTAATGTCCATGCGGATGCTCGTGATTATTACTTGACATTTGTACTTTTAACGTGACCGTGCATTTATTAATTTAAATGACCGATTCCATATGCATCTTGTTCAAGTCCCTTGCTATTCATTTTGCAAATTCAAGTTTGTTGTTAATTGTTCAATTTTATGTCCCATGTTCACCATAAATTTTGGTAACCTTCCGACATCCCCCCTTTTTAGGGAAATTTCCAGGAATCTTAGCCTACCTGCTAAGTTAAGAAAGACGTGTACAACCGGTATCAAATAGCACCGCGACCGTAGTCTTCAATCCTACCACGCCAAAAAAGATATGCATGTGATTTCGGAATACCTATTTGAAGACGCACAGTTATTTCCCCGCCAGCATTGAGGCGCTTACGGGCACTTAAATTTTGCCCCACCGTGCTAAGAAGAAACACACACAGGGCTCGCCCACCTCGGCGTCAATTCCCTTCCACCTCTCAAAAAACAAGACTTTGTATGTTTCATACCTACATGATATGACGATGACTTTGACGACGACAATTTGCAAAAATGCACAAATATACATTTTTCTCTTATCATTTTTCCTTTATTTTTTTTTCCATCATTTCATTTATTATTATTATTATTATTATTATTATTATTATTATTATTATTATTATTATTATTATTATTATTATTATTATTATTATTATTATTATTAAAAAAAAAAAAAAAAACAATTTTAGCAGTTTTTAATTAAAATGAAAAAAATTTACATATATAATACTAAAAATTTACTTATTAGATTTATATACTAGATTCCTTCAATTTACCCATATATATCATCTTAACATCTAAATAACAACAATAATATCATCGTAATCGATGTATTAAAAAAAATCATACTCATTTTTATATGTTCTCATCTTGAGAACGAACAAAAAATAGCTATAAAATATTATCGGTTGGGTGAAGAGTTTTTAATTCAGTGACCACATCTTCCTCAATTAATAAATAACCTCTTTAACTAGACCAATCCCATATTAAGCTACATTGAGCAAAGCTTAAGGAGGACCACCGAGATAGTGATGTAATAATGAAAAAGCTCAAGGGGTAATTAGACAATGATGCAGTTAGCTAGCTAGTTAGCTTCATGTGCAAAAGTAATTACTAATTATTAGAAAATCGAGCAAAATTGTGAAGTAAATGAAAAGTATACAGGAAAGCAGGGGATTAATGGTCTCCTCCCGTGGAAAGTCCAAGTCTCCGAGCAGCTTTGGCTCAACAAGATGCTATTATTATGCCAAAGGTGTAGGTGAGAAGGTTAATTACACAATGTACTATAGTTGTTACATGATGCACATGCATCTTCTTCATCATCATCATCATCATCATCATCTCTCATCACTGTTCTCAGTTCTTCTTTGTTCATCTCTCTCTCTCTCTCTTTCTCTCCCTTCCTTTCTCTTGCCGACAGCTTCTGCTCCTCTACTGCTACATCTCCTGCACATTCTCTCCATGGATCCCCTCCTCCCCACCTCTTATTAAAATGCTTGGCTTATACCTCTTTAGGCTCTTTGTAATTATCAGTAGCTGCCAGCTTAATTGATTCCCCAGCGGCCACAATTTCTATTTAAATTTACCCCACCAAGCTAACTAACTCCCCCCCACTTCAATTCACAGCTTCGATCTTCCATTTCATCGTATTCAGCCTGTGTATAAGTGTACTTGTCTCCTCACACTGCCACTTCAATTCAGCAGTCCCCTTGATCCCTCTCTTTCTCTCTGCATATAGTGTCCAGTACTTAGTTGAGCTTCAAAATAATAATTCCATGGTACAGTCGAAGAAATTCAGAGGAGTGAGGCAAAGGCATTGGGGGTCATGGGTTTCAGAGATTCGCCATCCACTTCTGTAAGTCGGTCTCTATACTCTCAATTACTTGTTTCTTCTCACTACGATGCAAAAGAAGGGTAAACCGTATATAATTGCGTACGTGCAGGAAGAGAAGGGTGTGGCTGGGCACCTTTGAGACTGCAGAGGAGGCCGCCCGCGCTTATGATGAGGCGGCCGTGCTTATGAGTGGCCGCAATGCCAAAACCAATTTTCCTGTGCCTACCACTAACGCAGGCGAGCCTGGCATCCTGTCCGGTGGCGGCCGCAGCAACCAAACTCCTGCCGGCGCTAACAGCACAAATGTTAGCAGCAACAGCAACAGCAACAGCAATAACAACAGTAGCAGTCTCTCTGAGGTGCTCAGCGCGAAGCTCCGTCGATGCTGCAAGACCCCCTCCCCGTCACTTACTTGCCTCCGTCTCGACACAGAGAGCTCCCACATTGGCGTCTGGCAAAAGCGAGCTGGCTCGCGTGCTGAGTCCAGCTGGGTGATGACTGTCAAGCTCGACATCGCCGCGCCACGGGCACTATTGGAAAGCCCCACCATGTCTCTGCCACCGCCTTCGCTGTCACCTACACAGCAGCAACAGCAGCACCACCAACAACAACAACAGCAGATAATGGTGGTGGAGGAAGAGGAAGAGGAAGAGGATCAGGATAGGATTGCTTTGCAGATGATTGAAGAACTACTCCACAGGAGTTCAGCAACGCCCACTTGCAGTACCCTTCTTGATCATTAACGCATGGATTACAAACCTAATGCTGCTTTCTCTATTATTATGTCTTAATCCTATATCAGTGGTCAGCCTTTGGCACCAACCAACTTTATTATATAAATATAAATAAATGTATAAATATATATATATACGTCAATCTACCAGTGCTACCAAAGCCAAAAAGCAGCTACCATGCATGTTTATATATGTTTATTTAGACGTTTACCAATGTTTGATTATAAATATATTTATATATGTTTCAACTGCACCTCACTCCCTTTTTTGTTTCTTCTTCCCTGCCTCTCTTATGTTACATCTCCATCCCAAGCAAAACCTTATGCTCCATTCGAAATAAACTATAAATGGAATGGAATATTATTGACTCGGTTAGAATGGTTACTGCTCTCTCTCTCTCTCTGTCTCCTTTCAATTAGCTGGCTTGAAACAGAGAGACTTCTCTGTTAATATACACGCGGGAATACGTCGTCTTCTACTGCAACATCTCTGTCCCGAAATGTCAAAATAAAATCCAGAAGTCTTTACGCACAGTGTTCGGTATTATTCTACAAGTTTGGAGATAAATACGACTGCTAATGCTCGGTATCCAGAATGACAGATTGCCTATTTGTAAAACAAAAACAGGATTGTCCTTTCGATTGCTTAAGCAAAGTGGTATTTTTTTTTTTTTAATTTTAGGATTGGTCATGAGGAAGTAACTTCTCTTGCTAATGGGCCACTCATTTAGAGCTTTGATTGATTGTTTTTTCTTTTCTATATAGAGAAAATTGAGAAGTTGCTGTCAAAAAAGTTGCATTAAAAAGCTTCATTATAAAAGCAACAACAAGCTGATCAATCAGAAACTTCAAATCCAAGTTGTGTCTAAGAAAATCACGCTAATGTTCATCAAAAGGATAACTATGCCGAACATTTTGAATCGACTAAACAAAATATTATTCTTTTAATTCGTAATTCTGAAAGTGGCTGTTTTGCGGCAGTATTTAACTCCTGAAAACTGACTAAAAAAACATTAACCAATGAACCCTTATACTACATATTGTGTGATAAGATCGTATGAAAATGCTTCAGAGCCAAATGCTTTTGCCACTTTAAACAATACTACGCAAACATCCCAAAATGCACTTTCATTTCCAGTGAGACAAAGAATGAGTGCAGTAGCTGCAACATAAAATGATAATTGAAAATAATTCTTTTTTTTTAAGGATGAAATTTTATCATAAGTTATTGAAAATATTAGATGAGCTAGCAATCACAAAGAACTCTCAAAAAAAAAAAAACTAAAAACATTAGATCAAGATTACTTCAAAGATAGCAATTAATAACCATCCATGAAACGAGAAGCAATCTCATATTCAAATGATAGCCAAATCTAGAACGTCCAAGTCAGTAAAGTTACCGCATCTAATTTGGAATCTAGTAAGCCTGAGTAAGTGAAGAAATTTTTTTTTTCTCAATTTGTGCCTCACCAAAAAACACAATAAAATCTTTTATCCATTGAATCAGTTAAACTTTTGATTGAATAGTAAGGCTAAATTGAATAGAGTCATCAATAACCTCTACATCAGAACAATCATAAGTAGCATTGGGAAGCATAATGGTTACATTACATAGAGAAGAGAAAGTAGGGGTGAGAGCTGGATTCTCGATAGGCTGATATATTGTTTTCCCGCTATTTGAGTTTTAGGAGACCCAATATAAATGTCAAAATGTCAAATGCAACATGAGATGTATGAGCAAGGGGGACAGTGGCAACCAGCAAACTTACAGCAGTAATGGAACTCGCTAACTCAAGATATGAAACTAAAGCAGTATCCAGAGCTCAAGTGTAACACCTCCTAAACCCATGAGCTGATGCACTTGTTCCAACCTAGTTTGGTAAGTAGAATTTCTACATTCGTGTTTGCTGCATGTGTCTTTGAGTGTTCTGGGTGCTTACTTGTGCTTGAATCTATTTTGAAGTGGGTTCTAAAAATTCGTGTGCATGTGTATGAAAATCTGAAATTTTCTATTTGGAGTGCAGTGGTGCTGGGCTGGTAATGGTGCGACGTTGAGCTCCCTAGCCGATTTATGGAAAATAAATTAATGTTGCGGCTTTGGGGTCCAGTGCAACGGCTCTCTGTTCTCTAGTGGAGAGCGCTGCGGTGCCAGGTCAAAATTTTATAAAAATATCTAAAATCATTTTCCATCTCATTTGCCTTAAAACTCTTTTAATCCATTTAGAGAGATAGATAGAGAGAGAGAGAAGGTTTTAGAGAGAAAGTTAAATTTTGGGCACCTCCGATCCGTTTTCTACTCTTGGCCTAGTTCAAGAAATTGTCCGGATTGAGGTAAGTTACATTTCACCTATCTCATTTTAAAAAATGCAAGAATTTTGAAATTTTGTTGATTTAATTTATAAATTGTATCGCAAAAAGGAGGATAACTTTGTACAAGCAAAACTTTCCCGTGTAACTTTATGTATGTGGTAGAGCTAGTCATAATGGACATTTAAATAATTTTCTGAAAAATTTACACAGGACAATTTGAAAGGTGCACTATTTTATTTAACTAGAAAATAAGACTGTAGTTTAATTAAAGCTTCAAAACAACATTCTGAACAACCTATGGTAAGCTAATACCATTTTGAGACAATGAAATTCTACTCAATAGTTGAATTTGTTGCCTACCGATAAAGCCTTCTGTGAAATACTGAAATTGATGTATTTATATTTTTTTCTACTACAATATAATGAATTATATGTTTATCTGCTTGAAATGTATACTTTGAGGAGATTTGAAATGAGATGGAAGTTCTGTTATGATGTTATATGCACAAGGGGTCATAAGGATATAAAATTTTAAATATCTAATATGTGCTAAGCATTCGGAGTTATAAGTGTTTGTTTTTTGATATGCTAGAACAGTGAGTCATAAGAGTTTGTTTCTAATTGCAGGTATAAGGGCCTGAGAAAAAATTATTATTTTTCTATTCTGATATATGAAGTATTTGTTTAATTACTTTTAGTACACAATTTGTGTTATTTCAGTTAATTACAATCACTATTAGGCTCGATAAATCTTTGGTGAACTGCTTTTAAATTCAGTTAAATGTATAATAAGAATTTTTTTTGAAAATTTAGATTTGTGGGTATGACCTACTAAGCTGTGTTAGCTCACATATACTCTGCTTTCTGTTTTAAATAGGGGAAAGAGGAAAGAGCCAATTAAATAGCTAAGTAATCAGGATTTGAGCCTGTATAGATATTTTTCTAATTTTATAAAGTTGTGGCTAGTTTGTTTTATTTGTTGTGTCTTGTGTTTGTAGTCATGTACTATATTGTAAATATTATATATATATATATATATATATATATATTGATGATGAATAAAAAGAATAAAATTTGTGGATGAGTTTATTTTCTGTGTATTCGAAGTTTATTAGAAGCTCTATTGTCTGAATGGTTTACTAGAACTCTAAAAAAGTTCTCTGAAACTTAGATCTTGAGCTCGGCATGTTAAAATTCAACACGATGTGACCTGTTAGTCTATGGATCATATCAGTTAGGTTGTTACATTGAGAACATCCCATAATGACTAACACAAATGGATCATCCCCGAGCAAGTTGGAAAAGGCCGATTGATCATGAGAATTAACCATATAAATATCTTGTAATCATGAATTATGATCAAGCGAGCAATCCCCAATAGAATGGCCCATAAAAAAAAAAAATTTATCAATTATGGGTGCGCCTTTAAGTAATCATTATAATTATATTATGACTGATGATTTTGCACGTTGACAGAATGAGGGCAAATCCTCAATTTCTATTTTTCACCAATAACATTATGAAGAAATGTCAATCCATACTTTCCTAGTCAAAAGGAGTTGAAACATCTATCTAAACAAGAACCTAGACCACAGATGATCAGAAGAGTCTAGTAGTAATAACACCAGATTGAATTGGCTTCCCAAAATTTGATCCCAAAAAGAATAATATAAATTGATTGATGTTGTAAAACCCGCCAAATGCTGTTTTAGACCTCGCATGCTTTTCAAAGCGCCGCGACGAATTTTTAGTGAAAAATTCGAGGTTGTCGGAATTCGACGGGAATTTTTTTATAAAATTCTACGCAAAATTCTAAGAAATTTGATATATAAAACTTGTATTTGATTTTGCTCAATTTAAGAATTAAAATTCGCATAAGTTTGATAATGCCCATAATGCCCTTGAGGAGTTTTAAATCACAAATGGTTTAAGTGAGGGTAGTTTGGACTTTAGGCTATTAGAATGAGGCTTCCACTCTAAATAGGGGACCGAAATATTTCGGTCCCCCATCCTTGCTAGCGGCCGAACCGAGCACGAGAGGAAAGGGGCGCGGGTAGGAGGCGGAGCCAGAGCTTTTAGGGGTGGTTTTCAGCGGCGTTTCGCGAGGGAGATTGAAGGGAACTCGTGTAGAAGAATAAGGTAAGTGGTTTGCTAGTGTTTCCTTTCTTTTTCTTTGAGTTTTCTCTAAAGAATGAAATTAGGGTTTGGTGGAAATGAGAGATTTCTTTGAGAAAAGCTTAGGGGAGGGTTAAAGGATGTTTTTTTAAACTTAAGAATGAAATGCTTTCACTAAAATTGTGGATTTCAAAAATTAGGGTTTCCTCATTATTTTCTTTTCTTTCAAATTGGGTTTGTAGGATAGTTTTTAAATGATATTAGGAGCTCCATAATAGAAAAATAATGCATTTTCGTGAAGAAATTTTAGATTTGGAAATTAGGGTTTTCCCCTAATCGTAGAATTTTTTAGCTTGAAGGTTTCCTTTAGGTTTGGGAAGACTCTTAGAAGCAAACTTAGGACTCTTACATCAAAAAGAACCAATTTTCCTATTTTTGGTATTTAAAAATTCCGAAAATAAAAGTTAATTTTAAATGCTAATTGAATGTAAGGAATGGTGTGTGTTTCATTTAGGTATTGAACGCGTGGAAAGGAAGAGTTCGTAAGGATAATTGGCGGCGCACATTGTTTTGAGGTAGGTAAATGTGACACTTTTAAATTTAGAAGAAAATTTCAATTCTTTCCCCCATAACATGTTTTATAATGTTGTGAAAATATTTATCATTCTTCCAATCGTACTGCTTTTATATTTTATTATGCTCTAAATGTCATGCACCTGTTCCTATGGTTGCCTAATTATATGAATTCATTTGGAAATAGTTTAGAGACAATCGAGCTTAGACTTAATATCATACATAAGTTCTTACTCATGTGTTATCTTACATTGCAAGTACATCTCTAATGTGATGGTATATAATGCACTTGTTTCTTTCTAAAGTGATGAATAAAGAATGTACTTAGCTCATTTTATTCCTAATGCTAACATGAAATCATGTAGCACATTAGGAGACAATTGATCATATGCATGAATGAGAATATTCCTATGAATAATTAAAGAACGAATGTATGTGCATGTTGATGCGGAGGTATCTTTGGTAAAGGGATGCTCTTCTGAGCATTGGTAAAGGTGGTTCTTATGAACCAAATGGTAAAGATGGTTTTTATGAACCAAATGAAAAAGGAATGACCAAACAAATTGTACCTGATTAGTACAAAAGATACCTCCGAGACGGGTGATTACAAGATGCATATAAAATATCTTATGATTCATGAAAACAATTCATGTATTATGTGAAGTGATTGGTTGCAAGCTCAACTAAAGAAAGAGGCTTAATGGTTCACCTAGAGGCATGTTACTTAACTTTTATGATTTGTTTAATGTTTCTATACAAAGCATTGACATACATGTTATTTCCCTCGCCTTCTTCTCTAAATTTAATTGAAAAATCATTTGTCTATTGAGTTATGACTCACCCATGTTGTGGGAAATTTTTAGGAGGATCGAATAGAGGATAGGTAATGGCAGGCCAAACACCGCGCACTTACTGTCGTAGGGAGACGACAGGCGGCAGGTTCTTTTGAGTTTTGTTATTTTGATGATAGAAGGTTGTTGTGTAGATTTTTGTGAGAGTTAAATTTGTATAGATCCCTTCTTTTGGAAGAACTCTCTTTGTATATATTTCTTTTGAAAGATGAATGAAAAGTGAAAGTTTTAATTGGATTTACTTTAGTGGCTCTTTCATTTTATAGTTGAAAATGTTTGGTTTATGTTAGATCTTTTGATGTTATGCTATGAAGGTTTATTCCATCCTGTCCGACCTCTGTTCCCGCCTCGCACTTGCGAGCTAATCAGGCCGGGTCGTGACAAGAGTGGTATCAGAGCAAAATGATTTGAGAATAGATTTTATGAAAGAGC